CCCCCCCCCCCCCCCCCCGTGTTACCCAGTTTCACTTCACACATCTTTGTATACTAAACTTTAATATTAAAATTGAGGTTCATAAATGTGTAATTTGTTGCATTATGACCTGTGGTGACAATTATAACAAATACTGCCAGTAGCAGCATTTTTGGTGAGAATGATAACAAGTACTGCCAGGAGTAGCAGCACTTTCAGGCCATATGTTGGAGCAACATGTGGTTTGGGAATATATACAAGGCCGGGAAGTCTACATTCAGTCCATTCCTCTTTCCACGTACATTTAGTGGTTTTGCAAAAGTGTTTTTCTTTCTCTTGTCCCTGCTGCTTTCCAGAAACAGACCACCGTATGTGTGTAATGTGCAGTCTGAACACATGCACGTTCACTAGCTCTTTGACTATATTCTGCATCAGTGTGCAGGCATTTGATGTATGTTTTAGCTGTGTGCAAGAAACTTGACATGTTCTGTGTGGTCCCAGAGGTGAGGGCCAGGGATGGGTGGCAGTGAGCTGCAGGAGGTGTGTGCAAATCAGCACCCTGGAGAGGGGCACAGTGCTCAGCACCTTTTCCTCTCCACTTTCTCTTGGCTCTGTATAGCCTACGTGAATAAGAGGGCTCTTTGTTAATCATAATTATTTTCTTGGGTCGAAGACAACCAGTCTACCTGACCTTTCTATGGCAGAGAACCACTGTGTTGCCTAGAGGGCAACCAAGACACCTTCATTCTAGAAGGAGTGAGCACCACGGTTTCTCTAAACACCTACCCTTTATTCCTCACTTATGCTGGGTTTGCTTTCATGGTAAGCTCTGGATATGTTGCAAATGCTGCCCAAGTAATATGGAGTGTCTTTTGCTTTCTGTGGATCTTGTCTTGCTCAAGAAGTCAGAGACCCAGATTGTTTACCCACCATTTTATCATCATTTGTCTTTTCCCTTTGTCCTTCAATTACTTCCCATGTTCTGTGCCTACATGACAGCAGTGCAAATAGTCTCTGAATGGACAAATGGAATGTTATTACATGCAGAGTCTACCTTTTTTTTTAGCAATTTTAGTCTCAATTAGATTTGTATTGGTTGTCACAGTCTGTTTGGATCTCTCAAATTTACAGGACAGTGTACTTGGTAAATTGAAATTTATTATATGAACCCATTAGGAAATAAAACAAACAAACATGACAATCAAGGACTCAGTCCACTTTGTACAGACTAGTCTAACATGAGAATTTCCTAATTCATTCCTGAAGGCATGAGGTTTCTAAGTCACAAGTTTTCTAATTCGCAGCTCATAACTTGTAACTCCCAACTTCTGCACCTATGAGCAAACTAGTTATTTAGCTGAAAGGGGGAATGCTCATCCTTCCTCTTTCACTGTGGTACAGATGTTGCCTGTATCACACCGGGAAGCATGAAAACCTTGGCAGTCCAGCTGCTGCTGGATCTGCTTCAAAAACTTTTTGGGTAAGCTGATAGACAGCTTGGACATTTAGTCTATACCATTTCCATGAGTTAGCAGATTCTGAAGAAACTGCCAGACAATCAATATGTGAGGATTATTGCTGCAGGGGACAGCAAGCTGCAGGTGATAATGGCTGCATAATGACCTTTAGCCATTTCTGGCCACTGGCTTCTGCCCATGTGTTGCCCTTGCTTTAGCCTAACAGTGCTGCTCCTAGCGTACATCAGGCCTTAGCATGAGCTGTGTGTTAGCCAAAATCAGAGCAGGACTTGAGTGAACAGTCACAGTAGGTATCTTAAAAAAGGTTAAAAATATTTATGCTTATTAAAGAAATGCTTATAATTATTTTGTTGTTATTACTTGATAGCTCCAAGTGGTGCACAAAGGATCAACTCAGTGATGCAGGATGTAAGTGGCAACATTGCCTGTTGCTGGATGCCATCAGCATAATTTCAGATTTTCAAAGAGCTGGCCAGAAAAGTTAATTCAGATGTTTTTATGCTTCTGTTCCTCTGGAGGCTGAGTACTTTCTGTGCATCTCTGAAGTAGTATTATAATTACTTTAAAGGGCATGATTTCATCTTCAGTGATTTAAATATTTGAGTAACTTGACACCTTTTGTTTCTTTTACAGCTGCTTTTGCAGGAGTCCTACATTGGTAAGGTTGAATGTATTGTTTGAGAGCAATATGACATTTTAAAATAACAAAAATATATTTCTGACTTATATTTAGGCAAGTTATTGGGATAATTTATATTTACGTCTTTCCTCTCAAAACCAAGTTGTTGTCTCTGAGATTAATAGTTCTGTTCTTGTGAAGCTGATGTTAGAAGTTTCTTCAGGCTGCTTAGTGAAGAGTGAAGCCTGCTTTCCAGGTGAAAAACTGTTTCTTAGCTATACAAATTCAGGTGCATTTCCACTAATAGACCTTTATACCCTCAGTGAGTTTTGAAAGTCCAGGTAAATCCTTTCAACTTTCTCCTGTGTTCTGCTTATTTAGATTCTGCTTTAATTTCTTAGCTTTACATCACATTTTCTCTAACCTCTCCAGAGAAATCTGGCCAGTGTTTTCTTTATGTACAGAGGAATGGCCTTTCAACTACTTTTTGTCAGTGTAATCCTTGTGTTTCAGGTTCCATCCTAATTCTTACCCTTTCTTTTTGTGGTGTAGACTTGAAATAGAATGGCTTCTGAAGTGATTTTCACCAGCTGCTTTTGCAGAGATAAAAAGTAACAGATTCTGCCACTCTGTTGTTGTTTCCTAGCTCAAAAAGAACTATTGATTTTTTTTTTTGTAGTTTGTTTATTGCAAATTCCTGTTCAAAAGCAGAGTCATGTGCACTGCTTTGTTTCTTTTCCCATGCTTTCTGGAGATGAAGCTTATCTTAGACATTGCAAGTTTTGCCTCCAAAATAATTTATATTCTTTTCCTGGCTTTCTCCCTCCCCTCTAGTTGCACCTCTATTTAAATATACTTTTGATGATAAGCGCATCTGTATGTAATGGCAGATAACCCCATTAAAATACAAGTCAGGGAAGATTTTTGTGGAAAAAACATACACTACTTGTATGTGCACCATTATTTTCACCAGTTTTCAATCTGTGATTCTTTTCATTTGTCAGATACTTGAATTTTCTTTCCTAATATGTAGACTTCGTAGTTTTAATGGCATTAAATTTTTGATCCTTAAGTGTCTACATGTCTACGCTTAAGTTAAAACTTATTAGAGTATTATAACTAATTCATAATACAGTTACTGAATGCTGTATGGATTCATATTTTTCCATTAAAAATAGTCTGATTAGATGAGAATGTTGGTACAGTATATGAGTAGATTAAAATAGCAGTTTGTAAGTAAAGTTTGGGTCTTAACTGAATGTTTTGCCAGCTGTTACTTTGTATATATGACTTAGTACAGATTCTAAAACTGTTTATTCAGCTTTAACTATTATTGTTTTTTTAACAGGTGTCACATAACAACTCTTTTTGAAAATGACCGTCATTTTTCTCACCTGTCAACACTAGAAAGAGAAATGGCTTTTCGCACAGAAATGGTTAGACTATGTTTCAGTAAAGATTCAGTGATTGGAAAACTTCTGTCTGTAATCTTGTGATCATGGGCTTTCCAAGATTTCTTAATACCTTCTGGATAATATATATATTGGTATCTTGCAACTGGCATGCATTACACTTTTACATGCAGAGCATTTGTTTGTCTTGCAGCTGATTGCTATGAACATATCTCTTCACGGTTCATTTAAAATATAATTACAAAATATGATTCTAGATGACCTAATATACAAACCTACAAGTACCTTGTGGCATACTTTTGATTATTGTCTTGTTATGCAGCTTTTTTAAAAGATATATTTTTAATCAATAGTTGTTTGCATTCATACACACCTTTTGGCTGCTTTTGTTTTGAGAATTGTGAAATACTGTGCTAGTGCATAGTTACCAACCCAAATGAGAGATTTCCAGATGGGCTATGAAACAAGGTGGAAGGAAACCTATATTGCTTGTTTCAGTGGATAAAAGAGATCTGAAAAGCTGGATAGTCATTTTGTCCTATTTGTTATATTTCAAAATTTGATTTAAAAACTAAAGCTTGTATATAGCAGTTCGTGAAGCAGAAGTTACCTCTTTAATTGTAAGTAATGATTCTACTCTCCTGTAGGGTCTTTATTATTCCTACTTCAAGATCATTATTGAGGCACCATCATTTTGGAATGGAGTATGGGCAATTATGAATGACAGACTAACTGAATATCCTTTAGTGATTAACACCTTACAAAGGTTCAATCTTTATCCAGAGGTGAGCTATGTTTTTAAAATAATACCTTCTGATAAATCTTTGATTTCTTTAGATTTGATTACAAGTTTGTAAGAAATGTTATTCTGGAAAACGTGGTTGTAAAGTGTATAGTGACTAATGAAATGTTACCTAAACACTGTATTTTAGTTCCAGATTTAAAATTGGAAAGTTACTTCATACATTGTGATAAGTTCTCAGACTTCAAGTATGTTCAATGAAATGTGAATACTCTCTAGATCTTAGTATTTTGTGCCCTAAAGTTGCAGTCCAGTTCTGTACTTCTTGTCTTTTGTGGTTTTCACTGACAGCACGTATGTTGCTGACATTGTGTACTTCAGGAAATACGGCACATGAAGTATCAGTAGTATGTGACAGTAATAATGTCTGCAGTGGTGCAGGTACTGAGAGGTTATTTTGGCTTGCATTTTGTGTAGGACAATGAACTGGCCAAACATCACTGTTCACTGTGGCCCTAAAAGTCATGAATGGTAGTAGTATGCTTACAATGTTGCAGAAGAAATTCCGTTGTAGATGACTGACTGCTGTTGTTTTGTACATACTTGATGTTAGACTTGTTGCCTGCTTGGATTATGTTCCCACTCTGCTTTTTTGTCACTAAAAAGAACATAAGTACAGAAATGTTTGTTGTTCTCTTTCTGATGGTTTTGCCAATGTGTCAGATATTTTGCAAAGGGAAAACTCCTTTGGTTAATGTACTGTTCTTTAACTCCATATGTCAGCAACAGCTTACTTTTTGAAGAACCAAGGGCTAATAATGGCTGTAATTGTTGGGTACTACCATTTATACTCATGCTCCTGCTCTGTTGCTGCTTTCAGGATCTATATGTTTAAGAGTTCTTGGCATCCATGTATTTATACAAGTTGCTTGAAGTGGCTTGATTTGTTTCTTAATTCCTTGTTCTGGAAGAACTAAATGCTATAGATAAGTGCTTTTTGTTACCCTCTCACCGGTTTTGTATTTTAGGAATTCTTTGGTGTTTTTTTTGTGTCGTGGTGGTGTTTATTTTGTTTAGTTTTTGTTGTTGTTTTGCTTATTTTGTTTGGGTTTTCTTGTTTATTTGTTTTGGTTTTGTTTTGTTTTTAACTCCAAGGAGATTGAAGTTCAGTTCTACAAATGCATGATTTGGTGCAATTCTTATTTGAATACTATAAAGTTATTTTCTTTAGTTGAGAAAGATTTATAGACTTCAGCTATGAAGTCTGACATGCAGAAATCAAAGGTAACTGGTCAAGTGAACTTGCTGTTAGAGAATCATCAGTATCACCAAAAATATGACTAAGTAAATTGGATTATGAAGTCAAAACAAAAGCAATTGGATATAGTGTCTGATGTTCTCTAAGAATGTTAGGTAGGTTACTGTGTGAAACGTATAGGCTTGTCTGTTCATTGAGTTTCCTAGGATCTTACTGGCTCATAGAACTTGGCAATAAGGTATGAATTCATTCCTCTTTTCTGTGCCTGTGTGGGCATGCAGAGCAGATAAGTTGTCTCTTCTGCTCCTTTCAGTCATTTACTGCTTGATGTCTAACCTTCCTATAGTTTTTTGGGTTTTTTTAAGTATGTATCTTGAGTACTCTTGTTTTCTTATAACTGCATCTGTAAAACTGTTACTAGGTACAACTTGACATTTTAAGTATGTTTTCCAAATTTATCTAATTTTACTTATGATTATAATGGATCCGAGTGGTAGGAATATGCTTGTGGATTTGTTTGTTAGTAGTGAAATTTTTCCTTCTGATACTCAGTATCCAGTTGTGTTTTCTGAAAGTTTTTTATTTCCTGTTTGATATTTTAGGATCTTTCCGGCTTTTTCAGCCCAATAGTAGCATTAAGCCAAATTTTAATAAATTTTTTTTGTTTGTTTAGTGGATTTCAAAATTAATTGCATCAAAAAATAGCCTTGAAATCCAGTTACTAAAGAGGATGTTAAACGCGTTAAGAAAAGTAGAACAATTCACCTGTATGTACAGCCAGTACTAGCCATGGTAGCTTAAAAAGATGAAAAAGATGAAGTGAGTCCATGGCAATCACTACATTGTCTCTGGAAATGATAAATATAAGCAGTAAAAAAAAATCTGTCCAAAGGAACAAGACAGTCTTTGTAGTTGTGTAATATTGTAGTCCCATTAAAGTCCTGTACCAGGACTTGTGGTGGTGTTTTCGTCTGTGATCCCTGATGCAAAATGGCAGAGAGATAATGTATTAATGTTTTAAGTTTACTCTCTGGCTGTTCATCATTACAGAACAGTTGATATTTCTGTGTGTGGCAGTGATGATGAAAATTTAAGTTAGAGTTATGAGTTGCATAGTAGATGTTAAAGTACTTACTCAGAGGCCATTACTTAAAGGAATTGACTTTTCTGTGTGTTCCTTTACAGCAAAGGACTGGCTCAGCCCACAGAGATCTGGGTCTGAGAGCCAGTCTTCTGTTTTTCAAGTTTTGCATTTACTGCATCATCTGATATGGAACAGTAGAAATTCCAAAAATGCCATTGTGCTCTAATTGACCTAGTTATTTTGTATTACCGATTTGCTTCCATTTTTATGCCGAAGTTAGCGGTTTCATGTAAAATAGCTTTTGGCAGAAAATGTTTGTGTTTTGCATGAAGTACCTAACCTGGTATGTTTCTAGGGAGTATTCATGTATGGTAACATCTGCAGTAGACACCAGCACTTGGGACATAAAAAGGTTAAGTTGCTAAATCAACTTTTTTTTTTAAGCATTTGTTCAGCAAGCATGTTTTATGCGCTTAGGGTAACATCAGCTTCAGAGCCAGTGATGCAAATACTCTAGACAGATGTCTCTAAGCTGCAATATGCATTCTGTTGGCAGTGTACAAACCAAGTTCAGGTGGTAAGTGGAAATGCTTGCATTCAGTTCCCCAGTCCTGTTGTTGCCTGTTTGGAGATGGGGCAAGTGCCCAAGTTCATGTGCACACATAAGCACAGTCAGAAGTGCCAGGGCACAGGCATTTGGAAAGCCTTCAGGAATTCAGTATGGTGTACTTTGAAGGACAGAATATTGAGGCAGAGAGTCTTGGTTTCTGCAGATCTGCTTTCTAGCTTGTCAAGTCCAGTCTGTATTAGTGCATGGTGGTGTTCCTCCCTGGTGCAGGACTTTGTATTTCCTTTTCGTGACATTGCTGTTGGCCCATTTCTCTAACCTGTTAAGGTCCGTCCCTATGACAGCACAAGCATCAGCTGCTCCTTCCAATTTTGTATCGTCTGCAGACTTGCTTAAGATATTCTCTTGTGCCATCATGTAGTCTTAATAAAGACATAGAACAGAATTGACATCAGATAAAAAATACAAATATCCACAGCTGTCCCCGATCTACTAAGACACTTAACTCAGAATATTATGAAGTTGAGCAGGTGTGATTTCACCTTTGTAAATCCATGGTGACTACTTCCAATGATTTTTTTTTTTTGGTCCCTGTTATGTTTGGAAGTGATTTCCAGGAGGATTTACTCCAGCACATACTCAGAGATCAAGGTGTAATTCACTGTGTTTCCTTCTTGCTGTTCTTGAAGATAGAAGTGACTTAAAGAGTTTTAT